ATTTCCACTGTTTACATAAATTGAAATAAACGAATCGACAAATTCACAAGGGCTTAAGAAATTCATGGCCAACCCGACTTATTGACGATTATCTAGAATAATAAAAAAAAACAACTTACGTGAACAGTTTTTGGTTATTTTTTTTTTGTATTACAATGTTATTTCAAGGTCAAGGTCAAGGTTTTTCCCCCATCGGTAAGAGGAATTTCGGGGGGGGGGGAGAGTGATTTTGCAATATCTTACAGCAACATGTATGAATAATAAATTTAGACATTTATGTTAATATATTTGTTGTTTTTTAGTAAAATAGAATTTGATTGGACCTTGAAGATTATAATATAATTTAAATGAGCCGTAGTCGCGTTTGCGTTAACCGAAGTAATTGTTCATACTTAAACGCCAAAACAGTTCACTAAACTGCCAGATTATGGCTATGCAAGGTTCCACTCTAAACTCAATGGTCATCCGAATCAACTCGTTTACAACCTCCTTACTAGTAGTAAACACAATATTATGATACCGACCGTTGGGCTCTAACCTAACCTAACACGGGTCGATGTTACCAGCCGACAGTTATTAGCGTCTGTTCGTTTCTCACATCTGGTACACCATGTTTGTAGTTGGTCCAGTGTTAAAAAGTTACAGTGTATACTGTATACAGATAAAAAAAAAGCCCTTATCAGAGTAAAACCAACACCTTCGCCGCTCTGCATCGAAGCTAAAACATTTTTCTGGATTTTTATGTAAAAGGCTTCCAAATTGGTCAAATTATATGTTTTTGAGGTCGGTGATTACGAATTTAATATCAGTTTTCAATTTCACTCAACCACAAAAACTAAAGTAAAAAAAAAAAAATATAAATTTGTGTAAACTTTAAGTCAAGTTAGAGAGTTATAGAGCTGCTACTCAAAGGAATTGGTTCAGTATTAAAAAAGTTACAGTGTATACGGATAAAAATAAAGCCCACAATTAGCTTCGCCGCTCTTCATCGAAGCTAAAACTAAATGCGATAATTGTTTCACATTTAAGGGTTGAAGGTAAAAATATTCTAAATACTGAAAAATAAAGTAAACTATGAACCATAATGATAAGGAACTTTTTTTTTTCAAAATATAAATATTTTCCAAGAAATAAGAGTCTCGCGCTAGTTGGGTCACCCTGTATTCTACCTCTTCAGTTAGATACGTTTTATAGGATTTCTCTAACCAAGATAAAGATGGTCTACTCAGTAACGATGATGTTATAGGAATTGCGTACCGTTATGTGTCTACCTTGAGTAAAGAAGAAATCGTTGAACCTTTCATGATAGCATGTGATACCAATAGTAATATTGCAAATTATAGTGTTAACGAAATCTGCTTCATTTTTTAAAAATAACTATCATATTGTAGACGAGCATAGAGTAGGACCAATGCGGTTGTATGTTAGTAGATAATTTTACAGTTAGAATTAATAAAATAAACCTCGAGAATGCGCCATTTTCATCTACATGTTTTATGTAGATATTAAATTTTACCTTGGCAGACTAAAGATTGTTAAATAAAAAATATATTCTATCTTGTTATAAAAAAAAAAACATTACATCTTCATCTGGATTCGTGTAGGAAATTTGTCCACTAGTTTAGAAGATATGCGATTATTATTGAGATAGCTCCTTAGTGGTTTTCTATGATCGTTCGACTTAATATTTTAGGTGTGCGGTAAAAATATTTTTCTATGTAGACTATTTTCACGATTTCGACGAGACGGGCAAGTAGTGCTTTTATAATCATGCAAAGTATCGACGAAAAAGATTGTTAATGTTTTCACAAGTATTTTAGTATGATGTGATGGTGGTTGAAATGTTGAAGTAGAAGATAAAAATTTGGTCATTGCGGAGTATAGATTTGTCATGTTTCGACGAAAACGCATGAGTAAAAAAAAACCCCTTAATAATTGTATTAATTTTTTAAATAATTTTCGACAGTGGTTTGTATTGATATTATCTACATTGTTAGAATAAACGATTTAAATAAGGCATTTTTATGCTATAATTATGGGTAATCAGTTTTAAATTTGATATTTTATGATATTTTTCAAAGCTGTACAATTTCACACATATATTTTAATTTAATGAATACAGACGATATTAATCCATATTGATAATTAAAACAAGATATGATTGTTCAATTTGTTTTTGTTATTTCATAAAATGATTAAATAAATATTTTAAAAAATCGTTGGGGAAAATTGCGTTAAAAGTATGATAAATATTTCCCGAGAATCTGAGTGTTTTTCACATAAGTAAATATGCAGTATTTGCCTGTTTTTCGTTGTTTTTACAATCGTACTGAGGAGTCGAAAACAACTCTAAGTAAATATACTCTGTAAATAAAATGTATCGAAAAACGACTATCTACCAATATTTTGCATTCCTATAGTGATGTTGTTTTTGTCAAACGCACCTTAATGTAGACACCCTGAAGCGAATCGAATTTCACTGTTCATCCGACTTTAGTACCGAAGACTTCCCTCCGGTTCGATAAAGTGTTTGAAAAAAAAATCATTATGTATTTCAAAATTGCTGTTACCCTTTACGTGCTGTACTTCGTGACCGCGACACAGGTAAAACATATTTAAATATTTAAAATTTGATTTTTTTAACTCCACACACGTCTTTTACATAGAAACTAAGTTATCATCCTGCGAAGTAAGTATTTTTGTGGGGTTGTTCTTTAGTAGGGTGTAGTGAAAAAGGGCAATTTTCGAAATCGTTTTCGTAATACCTTACAAAACTAGCGTCTTGGTGAATATATACCTAAAGTAAAAAAAAAAAAAAATGTTTAAAACATATTTCCCCCGCCCCAAGTCAAAAAACCAATATTCAGCAAAATTATTTAGACCTTCTAACATAACTCAAAAAGTTTCAATACTTAAAAAAATTAAAAACTATTATTTTGTAGGGAACTATATTCTGCATATTATACGTGAACAGTTATATTTTTTTAATTTTTTTTTAATCGCCAAAAATAAAATTAAAAAACATGCAATTACAATTTTTTAACTTTGATTAAATTTTTAAAGTGAATAATAAAGTTTTTTTGAAAAAATAGTTTTTTACGTTCTAGACTAGTTTATTTCACACCAAAGTCAGATTTGAAAAAAAAATACATATATCAAAGCATATCAAATACATTTCTAGTTAGTTGTTGTAGACTATTGGGAATTCGATTAAAACTCAATCGAGTTTTTGCACACATCTTGTTCATAGTGAAAGTTAATATACCGAAAATACTGGCTAAACATATATTCCTGTGATATGTATGCAAACCCATTGAGTCCCTTCCCTGACAATCAATCGATAAATCAGTCGTCCAAAAAAACAAGTAGTTATATTATTATAAACTACTATTTCGTGATTCTGAGAAATCATTATTCAGAATTTTTCATAATCCGGCTTTTTTGTTTATGGTTGTTTTACATGTATATATTTTTTTCAAATCTGATTTTGGTGTGAAATAAACTAGTCTAGAGCGTCGAAAACCTACAATTTCAAAGAAACTATATTATTCACTTAAAAAAGTTTAAAAAAATTGTTTTTGCATGTTTTTAAATTTTAAATTTTATTTTTGGCGATTAAAAAAAAATAAAATTGTTCACGTATGATATGCAGAATATAGTTCTCTACAAAATAATAGTTTTAAATTTTTTTTAGTATTGAAACTTTTTGAGTTATGTTAAAAAATCTAAATAATTTTGTTAAATATTGGTTTTTTGTCTTGGGGTGGGGGAAATATTTTTAAAATTTTTTTTTCTTTTTTACTTTAGGTTTATTTACACCAAGACGCTAGTTTTGTAAGGTATTACGAAAACGTTTTCAAAAATTGCCTTTTTTCATTACACCCTACTGTTCAGCATGTCATTTAAACATCCCAATATACCAAAATTCAATATTTCCCGAGAAACTGAGTGTCTTACCTAAAATAAAATACCCTGTATAGAAATAAAACAATAAGTTGTTATTGTACTTCACATAAGTAAATTTGCAGTATTTTTTTGCGGGTTTACACGGTTTGTACAACCGTAACGCTGCGTCGAAAACAACTCTAAGTATATAATGTGAAAAATAAAATAAAACGAACAACTATCTACCAATATTTTGAAGTTGAAAAGTTTAATTCTTCACAGACGAAAGTTGAAAAAACAAAAAAAAAACCGTACGAGTTTTTAAGTTAGAACTTTTACTGGCCTATAGCCAGTACAAGAAATTTGAATCACTGCAAAATATATTTATGAAGTTTCTTGTGGCTAGTGTAATATTTCAAATTTGTGACTTGTGTCGTTTTTGAAATGACCGATAAAATTACAAAATAGAAGCATCAAAGCGTTTATTTGAAAGTGATTTTATTTCATTTTATCACTTTTATTTGTAATAATTTCTGTAGACCTGTGACCACTCCGTCGCCTCGTTGCTTTGATTCCATTATGCATAGGCATAATGGAAAATATATTAGAATATAGATTCTACTGTACTAGGTCTCTTGGATAAAATCACTTTCAAATAAACGCTTTGATGCTACTATTTTGTAATTTTATCGGTCGTTTCAAAAACGACACAAGTCACAAATTTGAAATATTACACTAGCCACAAGAAACTTCATAAATATATTTTGCAGTGATTCAAATTTCTTGTACTCAACATTTGTATTAAATATGAGTCTGACAAATTGAGTTTTCACACAGAATACGTAACTAAGTATATAAATATTACATTTGATAAAAAGACAGTTTTGAAAAATCGGTGACCTAAGTCGTTTTTGAAATGGCCGATTCAATTTATTACTTTCTAACTTTCCTAGCTTACACTGTGCTTGGTTTAGATTGTACTGCCTTGAAAATACTAACTCCCGATTTGCATCGAAGCGTTTTTTCGAAAGTGATTTTATCACTTTCAGATTTAAAAATTCCTAATACCTAATACCTAACCTAACCGTGACACAGGTAAAACCGCATTAAATAAAATGTCGATAGTTAGTTGTATGAATTATTATATTTGTACTTGTGATATTTCATAGAGCGTTGGACTCAACGGGGATCAACTCACAGAGATAGGTGATTTATACAATAAATACAATAACGGTATGCACAACATCTCCAAGGATGATATCGAAGAGATTGGAGAAAGTTTTGGCATAGCTAATATGTCAGATTTTGACTACAAAGAAGGTGATGAAGTATATTTTATTAAACATGTTATTAATCAAAAGTTACTTAAAAAAAAATTGTCTGTAAAAAATATTTTTCTGTTTTTCAGTATTTAACAAATTTTCCACTTAACTCACTCGTCTTAGCTAGGTTTATTGGAAATTGTTTATAATTTTTTAAATTTTAATTATAGGTGAATCTAACGCCCGAAAATTACAAGATCTTGTGGTATATCTTGCCAACAACGATAAAAACACTGACAACATTAAGGTAATAACGCGAAAAAAACGTAGAAAATTTTCAAACTAATCTGATTTTCTTATTTCTATACACGCCTTTTACATAGAAAATAAGTATGTCGTCCTTCGAAGTAAGACTTCACGTGGGTATATTCAGAGAATACGACCTAAAGGGTGATCGCAAAGGTCTACTTGACCTCGATGATGTGAAAAAAGTCATTGTCGCTTTAGATCTAGCCGTATGGAATAATAGTATCAGTTATCGCCCAGCTGAACAATGCATACTAATTGTATTGAAAGAAAAAAGTATTGAGTTCATTATGCGATTTATTATGTTGCCAGAGTTAATAATTTTATTTTATTTTTAAGCTAAACAAATTAACGCATTGGAGTTCTTAGACCGCATATGGGCAGTAAAACCGAACCGAGTAAGGATTTATGGTGTCGTTAAAGGCTTGATAAAAAACACATTATTTTAATATTCATAATTTACATTATATTAAACATGTCAAAGTAAAATTGTACATTTTAGCGCATTTTTGCTTTAAAAAAAAAGTCAAATACCATTACTATATTTAATATTTATATGATTTTTATACTTGCACTTAGGGCACAGGTGTAAACCGGAAGCAGGTTGAGGACCTGATGACGTTACATAATGATAAGACAATTGATGGTCACATTAACCCTGTCGGAATAATGGAACTTTTCAAAAAGATATCTATAGTTAAAAAAGACTACGAAGGCCAATTGGCTTTTGGTTCCAAGAGTAAGAATACATTTTTGATATTATTTCGTTTTTTATTATTATCATTCTGTACAGTGTTGGCGAAATAAGTTTTTTCTATATGAAGCATAAGTAAATAATTATCTTTTATTTCACTATATTTTTGTTATTTGAATTTTTATAATACAATTAATCAACACTTGTTGTTAGACTACTTGTTATCAACATTATTCGTAAAATGCGATTTTTTAAATTAATTGAGATAGTATGAATTAATAATATGTAAAAATAATAGATAAACAAATTATGTCTTTTTTTATACAGTTTTAAATGATGTTTTCATTCGTAATCATTTATTTATTATATATGAAATAATTGTAGCTCAATTGAGATGTATTTCATTTTTATATTGTTTACTTAAAACTGTGTCTCAACTATAATTCGATGAATATATTTTTGTATACAACAAACAATTTATTCAATATTTTGATTGTAGGAAATCCGCATTTGGAGATGCAAGAGCTGTTGGTTGTTACAGCAGAATACAGCCTCGAGGAAAAAGTAATATTAATAATTGTATTAGGATTGCGTTGTTTATGCTTAGGTATATAAGGACGCCCCCACCCATTTATTAAAGGAGCGTAGGTTAAGAAATTGATCTTCAATTTTTCTATGGAAATTCGGTTTACTCAATTCTATTACAGCCCTTAGAGTATATTCTATTCGCGCAACCCATATGATCACACTGCAAATAACTAGTGGGAGCGTTCTCCTGCGGACTACATAACCTCGAGAGGTACTATATGAATTCTTTTGTTGATTCTTTAGGTTGGAACCGTATATTCTACCTCTTCGGTTAAATATGTCTTATCGGATTTCACTAAGCTGGATGACGACAAAGATGGTCTACTCACTAAGGGAGAAGTTAAAAAAATGACCGACGTGTTTACCCCGAACAAAAAAGAGAACATTGACTCTTTCATGAAGAAATACGATACCAATGGTAAATAGCAAACTATTGTATTACCAAAAATAGTTAAATTATTTTAAATATCTTACATAGCGAGGACGAGAAAAGAGTAGGATCAATGCTGTTTTCCTTGAGAAGATTTTTTTACAGTTAGAATTAACAAAATAAATCTCGAGAAACCGCCATTATCATCTGAGTATTGTCGGAATAGTTTCCATAATAAATTTGATATTATAGTGGTTAATATATCGAAGTAGATCTATAGACATAATTAAATAAAATTCTTAATTAAAAATCTTGTAACTTTTAGAAGACGAACACATGGACATATTGGAGTTCATCATGGCGCTGTTTAAAGAGAAAGTGAAGTTGAATGATTACGATGAAAAGTTTAACAATCATTATATGAGGAATAATTTTTAAAATAATTTTGATAGTGGTTTGTATTGATATTATGTAAATTCTAAGATTAAGGGTTTTTGCTGAATTATTACTATATTATATTTACATAAGAATATTTTTCGGGAGTGCTATAATTACGGGTAATCGGTTTTATATTTTATGTTTAATAATTGTTTACATAGTTGTATAATTTTACACATATATTTGAATTTAATGCTATCAGATGTACAACGGTATTAAGCCGTAATAATAAATAATATAACATACGATAACTAAATGTTTTTTTTTTTTGTCATTTCATAAAACGATTAAATAAGTAGTGTAATACCATCAAAATGATGTGTTTATTTTGAAATCAATATAAATATGCAAATTAAAAATTAAAAACCGCCATATGATGTTTAGGAAATATTAACACATTCAGTTTGTTGTTTCGGAACTGACGACATTATAGTCGATACAGATCGCATAGCTCCAATTAAAAAATAATAAAAGCAGCACAGTTTTTATTAAACGCTCTAAATCGACAATTTTACTATGTAATTTATTTAATTTTAATATAGCTTACAATTTCTTCAAAAAAATTCTGAAAAACGGCGGTTTCCACCCTTAACTAAATAGGTGATATAATGTTTAGTAATCACCATTATGGTTGAAAGCTTAATCTATTTTAAAAATCAACTTAAATACCTGTCTATAGTTTTATTACTACTATACATCCTGTGTACTCTCCAAACGATGGCGCTGCAGACACGTTTTGTTCCTATCACATAACATGATAATACAACAATACGTTTTTCGACATTCCTGAAAAAAAATGATTATTTTCGTTGTTACAGTTTTGATATAGGTTATGCTATATAATTATATTTTTACTTAATTTATTATTTTATTGAAAATATAGAACACCTTGAACATAATATTATGTATTTATGATACAAAAGATAAAATGAATTGTTGTATCTCAAAATCGACTGAATAACGCATTACATAATTTGATTTTATCGATAAAAAAAATATTAAAAGACATTTCCGAAGAAATCATTGAACTTTGTTACGAAAAAAAATGTTTTATATGGCGTGAATATAAAATTAATGATTATTGTTTATTTATCAACCAGGTGATTTTTAATTTACCGTTGCTAAGTAACTTATTGGCCGTGTATGACGAACAAACGTGGCAACGTTTTAAATTAATGACTACCCAATACACATAAAATTCAATATATTTTATTATCAGGTTAAACTATTTGTATTTTAAGTGTATTAAATTTGTATCGACTCATTAACTTGTGTATTAATTTCTCACCAAAGCTCAAAAAACGTTAGAATATAATACTATTACCACAACATAACATAAAATTCTTCAAAGTACACATATTTTTTTGAAATTTTAAAATTAATACATGGTGAATTCAATTTTACATTCAACAATAAACAATAGGCAACTGTAATGTCATGCATAATAATAATAAACTTTGTTTACTTTTATTTCCATGATTTTAAAATGCATCACCAATATTATCATATGTTTTACCTGTACTGTGTACGTTTAGACATACAGTTTTGAGTTACTTCCCTAACCCACACATATAACTTGCTTACAAGTCAAAAAACATGACAGATGACTCCAACATCCACTTTGTTCTGTCATAAGATGCATTAGGGATAAATAAAAATAAACAAATAAATTAAATATAAATAAATATAAATTTAATTGAATCAGCAATACTGAAGCTAGTAAATACTAAATAGCAAGTCACTTTCCAAGCTGAACAAAACCTCGGCTAGCACTCATAACCTTATTAAATAATAACACTTTAAAAAAAAAACCGATCATCAATATACAAAATTATTTTAGTTTTTTTGCAAAAAAAAGTTTCTGGTCAAATCGACATTCTATCAACTGTGACTTAATAAAATCAATATTGAGTTATTTGTAAAGCCTAGCAGATAACAGAGAAGATTGGTTGAAGCGACAAGGCGAAGCCCTTAGACAATAAAAAAAACCTAACCTTCGGCGACTGTACAAGGCTCCAATAGGGCCTACTCCCGGTCAAGATGTCATAAGCTAAAAAAAAAAAAATCTGAAATCTAAAATGCGCACAATAAAATTAATATTACACTTAATAATTCTTATTAATAAGTGTAATATTTTCACAAGTTACAACCAGAATAAAAAGAAGCATTTTTCAAGACGATATAAAATAATATGTGAAATAAACCATCAAGACGGGGACCCGTTTAGCGGATCGCGCATCAAATTAAAAAAAAAAAGAGAGATAAGTAGGACTGTAGCACCGAATTTTTTCTTCGTTTAATATGTTATGCCTACCAATGATTTTTAACTCGTGACAAATTTTCAACTTAAATGTCTTAAAATTACGGCTAACCCCCTCCCCCCTAAAAAACAAAAAAACTGGCATCCCTCGCCCTCAGGGGGATGGCAATTTGGTATAATTTAAATTTGAGACTATTGGCGTGGGAGGGGGGGGGCATACCAAATAAATATTCTCTGTAATTTGAACTGGATCCGACTCTTTTTCTCGAAATTATAGCTTGTAAAAGTCCAAACATTATAATTCTAATGGTTTTTTTTTCAAATTTTAACTGTGAAGAAGTAAGCTTTTTCAACTTTTACCTCTCCCCCCCCCAGAGTAGTCAATCAGATAAAACCCACATCATAGTAAAACCAATAGCGTCGCTGCTCCGCATAGAAGCTAAAAATGTATACAGTTTTTGTGCCGGTAAAATGTTATATTGAGAAATAATTTAAAGTATTACAAATATATATGAAATGGGATATGGTTAAACTTTATAAATATATTTGAGATTAAAAATTCCGTGGGACAGAGGCCTCTAAGTCTTAGTACAATCTCAGTTCTAATGCATAAGCAGCAAACAATCGTGCACGCGTATTGTTCAAATAATTACATGTTTTTGTTTAAAACAAAAAAAAATCAAAGTTACCTATGTACGAATTTACAATAATATGTTGTTTCCATTAGAAAATATACAGGTTTAGAGGCCTCTTAACGGTATCAAGGTGGATTTTGTTCGGTTACTTTAAACACGGCCTATGTATCAATTCTGATAGCTTAACAACACGAAGAAAATTTAAAATGTACTTTAAATGTACAAAACAAAAAAACGGGTACCATCTTTCCCTTGAAGGAAACACATTGGAACATGATTATGTATTGTGGCCTTCCACTTCCCTAAACTAAACTACCAGGAGACTATCGGCCAAATTGTTTGTTTCCGCCATGCTCCGTCCCCACTATGCCCCAACCCCACTGTACTGGCTTTTTGCAAACTATATTGTACACAACTCAAAGCAAATTGGAATTAAAACTTCGGTGTTTTTTTTATACACAGAAAATTGTTAAAACATAATGTTTGTAACATAATGCCCGGCGGCTTTTAAAATAATACATTTGTATATTATATGAATAATAACTATTGAACGTTATAAAAAAAAAAATATGAAGGCAACGTATTCGGTTAAAGAAAATAACACTGCTAGGTGTTTTTAGCCAGGTAACATTCGGCATCATGCGAAACAATTGAGTATACATGCGTATTTTGCGCGATTTTTATACATTGGTGTGTCTTGGCACAAATAAAATTGTTTTTTAAATATTCATACCGAATTTAAGTTACAAGTTTGAAAACTATACAAAAAACTAGCCGCCAGCGGGTGACGGTGTGCACAGTATTTTCAGGGTGGTCACAGATTCCAAAGGGGGCCTAGCTATGCCATTAACACAACTGAATATATAAGCAGAAATTAGCAAAATTCATAAACATTTTCTTATGATATTTTCCATGTTACAAGGAAACCTGTTATTTTCTATTGGTTCTCGTTTTATCGATTTCAATTGTTATAATCTATTTGAAATATTACATCGGACAACTTTGAACATACATTGTGTAAGTCGTACAATAGTACGAATAAATCAAAAATGTTCGACCGGAATTTGTAACGGTTACAGGGATATTTTTTGAGATAAACCAATAGTAATATTGTAAATACAAAAAATTAAGCATCGATAGTATTTTATGGAAAAAAACATTCCAGAATCTTAATTTCCGCACAAATATAAATATATAAATATATATATATTTTTTCCGTATTTCTAATTTCCGTGACAATATTTTCCGGGATTTTACCGCCTCCCCTGTGAGCGACGTGAAATATAAAACAATGAATGGTTCCTAGAACTAAAAGATGTCATCCTAATCGATATCTCTCTGAACAGTCCAAAAGACCATATTTTACTAATTTATAAACGAAAGAGTTATCCAAATATTTGCACCTGTGATCTAAACTGTTGAGACCTAGATGGCATCTTAATGAGCAATTAGAGTAGTTTATTGTATTTAATTTATGATAGAAGTACCTAAAAAAGATATTCTGCACTTTTTACAATTTGTTAATTAAACCTGATCGGGTGGGGTTCCGTAATATTCATCCGTATTCTAAGTTAGAGCGAACAAACGAACAAAATAACATTTTCCAACATATTGAATCATTAAATTCTCAGCAATTCCTATGTATAAAACCTAACAATCTCATTTAGCTATCATAAGTAGAAATATTTTTTTCATTTAAGTAAAGATCGTTAGATATTAATGTTCCTAAATCTTTATCTAGGGATGCTCTCATTAGGGACAGACTGTTTAAAAAATAATCAAATAGTATTTGGGTTTTGTTCCGGGTAAAGGTAGTTCATTGTCGTTAACTAAAATTAAGGGTGAATAATAGCATTTTTTATTAAACTAAAAAAATTTATTTTATTTTTTTATAATGTATGTGATTTTGGGGAATACATTTTAGCTTCGATGCGACAGCAAGAAGTTATTAGTTCTAATATGATGTGGTTTTTTTCTGTATGGACCGAGTTACTCGTATTTCACTCTATGGATCCGAAATCGTATGCAGACGGTACTTTGGTGGGTCAATAAAAAAAAAAATGTTAACTTGATATATGACTCAGAAACTTGGATTGAAATTTGTTGCGATCACTTTGTGACCTTCGGGTTTTCCTTGACTGGTAGTATGCAGTATTCGTCTACGAACGGTCTTAACCAAAGCTGATTCATTCTATTAATAGACCTCATCAATTTTAACACAAATGGATTACCTTTTGACTTGTACTCGACATCAAATTCACCGATATAAGTTGGAAAGTGGAGTTCAACATTTAAGGAGGATATAGATTCGTCCCGTTTCGATAAATAAGAAAACCCTTGTTTTAATATAAGATACGACTGTTAAATTTGCTTTTGTTATTTTGATAAAACGATTGAATAAATATTGGGAAAAAATTACGTTGGAAATATCAATATTTCCCTAGAATCTGAGTGTGTTGCCTCGTATGAAACACCCTGTGTAGAAATAAAAAATATCTTGTTAACGTATTTCACATAAGTAATATGCAGTATTCTCCTAGTTGTTATTGTTTGTACAATTGTACTGATGAGTGGAAAACGACTCTAATTACATGCTGTGTAAAGAAAATATAACGAAAAACAACCTTAAGTCGAATCGAATTTTACTGTTCATCCGACTTTAGTATCGAAGACTTACCTCTGGTAAGTACAATTAAGTGTATGAAAAAAAAAAAAACATTATGCATTTCAAAAGTGCTGTTATTCTTTTTGCGTTGTACTTCGTGACCGCGGCACAGGTAAAGCCGCATAAATAAAATTGTCGGCAGTTAATTGTATGTATTATTATTTTTTGTACTTATGATATTTTATAGAGCGTCGCACTCAACGAGATTCAACTTGACGAAATTCGTCTTTTATTCAGAACATACGAAAATGGTATATATAACATTTCCAAGGATGATATCGTATCTATGGGAGAAAGTATTGGCATGAATAATATTTCAGATTTCGTATACAAACAAGGTAATAAAGTATCTCTTTAATAGGTTTTTAAATTTTTTGGTTGTAATCAAATGTTAGTTAAAAAAAAAATATTCTCTGTTTTCCAGTACTTGACAATTTTTTTTTTTAATTAACACACTCGTTTTAGCTAGCTTTATTGAAAATTGTTTATATTTTTTTAAATTTCAATTATAGGCGTGGCAAACGCTATACAATTACTAGATCTTTTGGTATTTCTGGCCAACAACGATAAAAAAACTGACGACATTAAGGTAATAATGCAAAAAAAAAAAAAATAGAAAATAGAAAATTGTCAAACTAATTGGATTTTCTTATTCCCATACACGTCTTTTGCATAGAAATCAAGTTTATTGCCCTACGAAGTAAAATTTTACGTGGACCTGTTCAGCAAAAAAGACCGAGAGGGCAATAAGGATGGTCTTCTTGGCTACGACGAGGTAATGGAAGTCATTGACGCTTTAGATCTAGAAAATTGGACAAGTTTTGATTATTCAAAATCGGCCCTACAGTGTTTAAAAAACGGATTTGAAATAAGTATTATTGAGTTAACGACGTTGCTATTGTGTTGCCAAAGTTGATAATTGAAATTCATTTTTAAAGATAAAAAAATTAACGCCTCGGATTTCTTACATCGCATTTGGGAAGTAAAACCTGAAGTAGGTGTTTATTTGTGGTACAAAAAATATCAAATTCCATACACTCAATACTTACATTATTTGTGTACTTGCACTTAGGGCACAGGTCTAGACCGGAAGCAGGTTGAGGACCTGATGACGTTACATAATGATAACAAAATTGACGGTCACATTAACCCTGTGGGAATAATGAAATTTTTAAAAAAGTTATCTATATTTAAAAAAGACTACGAAGGCCAATTGGCTTTTGATCCTAAGCGTAAGAATAAACTTTTGATATTATCTCGTTTTTTATTATTATCATTCTGTGTAGAGTTGGCAAACTAACTATTTATCAATATGGAGCAATAAGTAAAAAACTTCTTTTGTAATTTTTTTTTTTATATCGTTTTAAATTATGTTTTCGTTCGTAATATTTTATTTGTTATTTATGAAATAATTATAATTCGAATGAGTTTTATTCCATTTCTATTTTGTTTTTATAAAACGGTGTCCCAACTCTGATTCTATGAATATATATATTTTTAAAAAACAAATAATAAATGTATTCAATATTCGTATTACAGGAAAGGCTGCTTTGGAGTTGCAAGATCTGTTGATGCTTTCAGCAGAATACAGCAATGAGGAAAAAGTAACACTAATAATTTTATTACGATTGCGTGTTCTATGCTGTATGAGAACGCACCCAACCATTTATATAATGATTTAAGGGTTAAACTTTAGGTATACCAATTATTACAGCAATGAGCGACGTTTATTGGTTATAGTTTTTGTTGTTGTAAGGCTGTCACAGTTGTTTCTATAGAAAAATATAAAAAATTTTTCCCATTAATATAGTTTTGGGTGGATAAAAGCGTCAAAAACTTAGACATTTAACTCGATTATTTTTTAATGATTTATTAAAAAAAAATTATTGGATCCACCAAAATTTTTCCATAGATAATATTATACACTTTAATGTGTAATGTAGACGATTAGATGTGTACAATGTGTACTAACAATTAGGAGCGTTCTCCTGTGCACTACATAACCTCGAGAAGCACTAAATGAATTATTTTGTTGATTTCTCAGGTTGGTACCGTCTATACTACCCCTTCAGTTAGACAGGGTTTATCGGATTTCTCTATCCAAGACGTCAACAAAGACGGTCTGCTCGACAACGACGAAGTTATGGAAATTGCAAACCACTACGTGTCTACCTCGATAACAAAAGAGAACATTGTCTCTTTCATGATCAAACACGATGCCAATAGTAAATAGCAAATTATTGTGTTACCAAAAATCAGTTAAATTATTTTAAACATCTTACATGGTGAGGACGAGCATAGAGTAGGCATCTATACACTAATATTTAGCATACAATATAGGAGTGAACGCTTGTGGAAAATAGTATTTGAATAAATAACACAATACGAATAAATTAAATGATTAGACACACTATACTATTGTTAAACACTTAAAGTAATTACAATAATAGTTTATAATATTTCTGTTTAGTAATTTTCATGATTTTGACGTAGGTGACGGGCAAGAAGTGATTTTATATGACTATTATACAAAGCATCGTCGGATAAAGATTGCTTAATGTTTCCTCAATAAATATGATAACCTATAGACGATATAATTAACTTCTAACCAAAAAAAATTTTACTGTTTAGAAGACCAACGTTTGGACCTAGCGGAGTTCTTCATGGCGCTATTTAAGGAGGGTGTTAATTTGTCATCATACGATGCAAATGATGAAAAAAGTGTACATCTATACAAACCGTATAAATTTAGTTTGATATGAAACCGATATAGGTTTGTACAGATATTCGTTTAAATTGTTAAGTTTAAAGTGTTGTTTTTTTTTTTTGATTATTAAATATTATATATTTATACGGTTGTTAAATTTGTTTTTGTCATTTCATAAAACGGTTAATAAATAATGGAATACAGTAAAAATTATGTTTTTTTATCGAAATCATTATAATCAACTATCGTAGGCCTGGCAAGCTATCTATCTATGAAAATACATTAGTATTGGGTGAAATATTAACTGAAAATGTACAAAAAAGAATTAAGAATTTGATTAAGTCTTACTTTTCTAAGAATTGTATTGTTTTTTATTTGTATCTATGTTACTGTACAAAATTATAAAATTATCAAATATTTTCCAGTACGCGATAAACTGTTGAAACTTAAACAGTAACATAAATATTAAATTAACTCGTTAAAACTAGAATATTTTGTTAAACATGTTGGAAAGCTTCTGGTCAATTGAATAATTACTTTAGGTGTTGCGATTTTTATTTTGACCAAAAGCATATAAAAAAAAATTGTTTGTAAACAAATTATGCTTCGACAACTTGCTGTCATAATTTAACTGTGATAAGTATGTAATATATAAATATCGAATGTGATTGTCATAATTATTTTGTAAAACTGCATGCATAGAACAATACAGTTTACTGACGTACACTATTGTAACATCACATTTGTATTAAATACAACTAAACGCATATACACATCCTATTCGAGTCGTTTTTTTTTTTTTAATAACCAGTGAACAGAACATTGTCTAGTGGTCGCACAACAAAAGACAACAGTCGCTCCACATACTTTTCACTTCTTGTCGTATCCAGTCGTCGGTCAAGAGTTATCTGGATACGGCTCCCTGGGAAGCTATAAAAGCAACCCTGGGAACTCAATGACAACGTTGAGTGTATACTGATGCTGTTGGATAATCAGGACAATCGGAGCTCGGTTCATTTTAATAGTCCAATACGAGACATTTAGTTGTGAATCCTTGGGAAGAGCTATAAGCACAGCACACTTGATACTGTTAGATAATTTGCAATGGTTAAGTAATTGTAGTAAAGTGTCTACAAGCAAAGCTCGTTTGCTCAGTCGTCCTGGAGCAGAGTGATGATCGGCCCTTTAAGACCAGTAGCTGTGTGGAGAAAGCGAGAATAAGCGAGTACATACTTGTATGATACAACAACAAAAAAAAAAAAATGTATCGAAGGACCAGCCGAAGTCTTTGGGCACGAGAAGAAAAAGGAAGCAGTACCGAGTTGTTACGCCTAATTAGTTTTGGGTAGGCAACCTAACGCACACTACCATAGTTAATATCGATTTGTCGGTTTGCTAAGGGTAATTATCGGATAGTTCTTTAATACAATATGGCCATTATAAACAAGCATCTTGGTAAAACATAATTAGTTAAGCGTATAATAAAATACGGTTGGGGCCTCTCGGGGTGGCTTTATGGATAACACGGAGAAAGGTGGCAGAAATACCCGGGGAGTCATTTATTTAAATCATCTTTTGATGTTATAAAGTTAGACTGTCTGCACTCTAACGGTGTTCGATACTTCGGCATTTAACCGTGCTCGATATTTACAATTTTATCGATCATTCTTTTTTTTATCAGTTTTAATCCTATCCTAAACAAACTTCTTTTGCTTTGGCCGCGTGGCTGAAGACCGATAGTAGCTAGTTCAGGGTGAACGCAGTCTGCCGTGCCATTTCGTTACAATTCTACATCTTGTTCTACGTCTCAGCAAACTGGTTTTAGTGTTTAGCTTGAAAGTTATTGTGCCAACACCATTCAACTCGAGTTCATATTTTTCAAAGATTATTTAAAAAAAAAAAATAAAAATAAATACTGTTGAATTCAGTTGTAATTTTTGCCAACGCCGTTCCATTCAATTTCCATTTTTCAACGTCTATCATTCCACTTCAACCAGCAGGTCATATTTTATATAAAGTATGATTTGATTAATACAAATTGTCGCCATCGTACCGTGAGTCTTTTTTATACGTATACATTAGGGTGGTCGTTTATTTCGATTTGGAGGAGCGAAGTATGGAAATAGGTTTGAAATGGCGAAAAAATAATTCCCTAATTTTTTCAGCATTTTCACTTAAGTATGACAGGTGCCGCACAGGGCCTCGACATTTGTATTGAAATAACATTGTCACTTTTTATTTTCCAATAATTGTTTTATTACAACGGCCAATTAACTGGTGGCCCCAGAAAGAGGTGCAGGTGGCCATTTCAGTCAACCGTTTCGCCTAACTTGTGACGCAAATAATGAAATAATGTTGCAGTAGGTTGTGTGTTGTCCCAAAGTCCTATCGACAAGAATTTACCAATCACGTGCGCATCGAGAACTATATATATATATATAAATATATATATTATATTTTATTTCTTCATTGCATTATCTTACTTATTAACTATTAAAAGGAAAATTGCAGAAAATACGCGAAAATTGCAGCAAACGATTGTGC